ACCTACTCTAGGGGATGTTTTGAAATGAACATCCAAGGGCAAAGGGAAGGCAATGGACTGACAGGCCGGATGTTTTCACATATGTAATCTCATGTGCACAGACAATACAGAGGCTTCTGTGGTTGAAGTGCTGGAGCCTAAAAAAGCAGAAAGTGAAGCTAAGGTTGGACCTACTCAGGGGTAGGGGGAGTTGGAGTAAGTTGGGCAGTTTCCATTTTAACCAAGAGACCACAGGGAGTCACCATGGGTCTGTGGGCAGGAGAGGGCACACTCCAGTGGTGTCTGAGGCTGTTGCTTCAGAAGCCGGGAGGCAGACCAGCTACGAGCTGGAGCACAGGAAGTAAAGGAACAGAAGAGGGAATCCATCAAGTGAGGGGGCAGGGGCAGGAGGCTGGGCAGACAAACGTGGGCCCCAAAGGACTAGAACCCAGTCCATGGCACCCTCCCTGCAGCCCCAGTCAGGGGCAGGTAATGGCTCCAAGTCTGCCCTTTGGGATGCTGGCCTCTGAGAAGCGAGGTCATTGAGGGGAAGAGGCCCAGGTTGGGAGAAAGAAGGCTGTGTGAGGCTTCAGGGGTCCAGTTTTCAAGGTACTGAGTGAGCCACCAGGAGCACAGAGGCAGGCTTTTTCCCAATCCTGCTCTTTCATACACCACCCCACTCCCAAAGGAGCCCGCCAGACTGGCCACAGCTAGAATCTGTAAGAGACGCCAACATAACACAGTCCTGGGAAACCAGCTCCGTCAAACATGGCTCCTGCTACCAAGGCCAGAGTGCCTTGACCTGGGCTTCTTTACACATAATCCCACAGCAGTGGTTCTCAAAGTGCCATCTCCATGCCAACAGCATCCGCATCAGCTGGTACAGCATTAGAAACCTAAATTATTGGGCCTCACCAAACCCACTGAACTGGGAACTCTGGGAGTGGGGTCTAGCAGACTGTTAAGTCCACCAGAAAGTTCGATGCCGGTTCATTTTGGAGGAACCAGTGAACTCCAGAAAGGTCTAAACCATGCAGACCCATTCATTTTCGTTTTGAGAGAAGTGACCCATCACACTGTTCTGAGGTTTTCCTACAGGACAATTATCAATGAAGAAATCATTTGTTTGGTCACCATAGCTGATTTAAAGGTGTGTCTAGCTCAATAACAATTGTTTTCAGAAACTTTTTGAAGCACTGTAACAGTCCCACCTCCCAAATGTTAAGTTGTTGATTACGAGTGGTTTTTAGGCCTTTATTAACTAACATTAATCTTCACAGCACATTCCTTTGCATTTCCTGATGTGGATCTCAGGCAGGGACTCTGACTGACTTGCTTTTGTGCCCAGTTTTGTTTGGCTGTATATTCATAGTGCCCAGGGCAGCAGTAGGTGCTGTTTACATATCTGCTGAATAAATGAATCTAGGTAGGGCTGGCATTCTCATGATTCTGATTTTGCACAAAAGAAAGCAAAGGCTCAGAAGACAGAAGTATTTATAAATTGTGCCCTGCCTCTCTGCCTGCATAAAGGGTGCAAGGCTGTCTCAGAGCAGCTGGGATCCACGCCACAGGTGGCGCAGCTAGCAAACGACTGACTCAGCATTTCCTTCTAGATCTGTGAATGCAGAAGCAACTCTTTGCTTAGCTGTGACTGAGAAAATGCCCTTCCCTAGGGGAGAAGAAACACGTTTTCCTGCACAAGTCAGTCTATAATTCCAAAGCACTTTCCCTCCAGGTGCTTGTAGGTGACTGAGATATGGTCGAATCTAGACCAAGTCACAAAATCACTGATATCCACTGTGCGGACGTATCCACTAGATGCCACTGCCAAGTTAAAGAGAGCTGAATCCTAATCGTGAGGTTTTGAGGGGAGATGTGTGACTTTCTCAGAGAGATTAAATGTAGCATTAAACATCCTCTGTAATAAACCGTAATTTTCTTGGGATTGGACAGGAAGGGCAACAAGCCCTGGAGATAGCTTTCCTCCGGGGTTGTCACCTTGGATGCTGGATCTGTCACAGAAAAGGAAAAGTCTCCTGGCCTATGCACTTCAGGACACAAACAGTTGTATCTTGTGCTTCTCACAGCACAATCTAGCGCTATAATGCACCGATGGCATCTTTGTTGAATGCATGCTCCTGTACATGAACCGCCTAGGAGGGATGATAGCGTGAGCTGAGCCATAACTTGGAGAGAGCTTCGAAAGAGAAAGGCATTCTCTTCTCCTCTGCTCTGCATCAGGAGTTGTTCTCTAGGCTGATTTTCAGGTCAGGACTGAAAAAAGAGGTGTGAAAGATAAAGCTTGCCAAAAAGGTCTTTTACTTGATGTATACTATGACTTAGTGTTCACATTGGGTTAGGGTTATTATTTCAATTTCTCTTAAAAAATTGACACAACTAAGGCTCAGAGAAGTTAAGTGTTTTATCTGAGGTCACACAGCAAGCATGTGCCTGGGCTCAGGTCTCTCTGAGCCTGAGCCCTTGCTTATGCTTCCTCCCCTGCACATTCTGGGATAATCTCTCTCTCTCTCTCTCTCTCTCTCAACTCCCAGAGACCAGACTCTGACAGGATCCTGAGGGATTCCTGCCAGGGAGTTGCCATCTCTGGAAGCCCCCACCCCCATGCCGGGCGAATCTTTTTTTCTGTGGAGTGCGGGCCTGGAGCTAGGTGAGGCCTGAGCCTCCATTTCAGGGGCTTTCTGTAGAATCTGTTGCTGCTGTTGCCTCCAGTAGAGTCTGTTTCAGGAAGAGGTTTGCCTGCCTGCGCGGGACAGCGGTGCCATTCATCACTGCAGGAGGGCAGAATCCGGGGTTGGGGGCCGCACGTCGAGAGGGGAGGGGCCAGGGGGCGGCCCCCTTGTGACCAGCCCTGAGGAGAGGTCAGGAGAGAAGGCTGGCTGAGGAGCGCCTGGACAGCAGCAGTTGCTGACGTTCTATATCACGCGCCTGGGGCCCAAGGTAACCCAGACCTTTAAACAAACCGCCGGGCTGGGGGCGTTGCGGGGGCAGGAGAGGGAAAAGGGAGCGGGGACTTCGGGGATCGCCCGAGGATGGTGGTGGCCTTAGAGGTGGCAAATGCCTGAAGGGAGGGAGTAGTAATCCGAATTCTAGGAGAAATCGTAGGAATTGAAGTCGCAGAAGCAAGAAAAGGGGTGTGAGAGCACAAGAGCGAAAAAGCGTGAGAGGGCGCAAGAGCTGGGCGGACCGAAAGTGCGCTGAGGGGCAACGGCTTAGAGTGGAACACACCGGGTCACAGAAGTATAGATAAGGTAGGAGCAGAGGGACACTTTCTTCCTCTGAGTTCATTTTCCAAAAGTGCGTCCTTTCAGCCATTTTTGAGAGAAAATGTTGACCCAAGTGTTTTTTAGGATACAGGGAAAGAACGTCAGAGGAAGCTGCACCAAAGAGAGGCTGCGCAGGGCGCAAAAAAGCAGACAGAGGGTGGCGCCTTTTTTAAAGAAGTTTCCATCCTTTCTGTCCTAAAGCTCAAGCCGTTCCCCACCCCCACCGCTCGCTAGCCTTCTCTTCCCAGTCCCCTGGCCCCTGCATGATCTGAGCGTCTTTAAAGCAGGTAACCGCCTCGGTCTCCCCATCAGCTCCAGGGGCCTCTCAGTTGAGTGGGTGGAGCCGGCAGCGGCCGCGGGCTGAGCTCAAGGGCCGATGGGAGGGGTCCTGGGGGCGCTAACTGCGCACTGCGGCCATGACGCTGGGCAGATCATTCACAGAAGTCTGTCTCGTTTCATCTACAGTCGCAGCTCGTTTCCAGACGCCTTGCTTCTCAGGTCGAGCAGTGATCTGATGGCCCAGGTTCCAGAAACTTCTTTGCCCTCCGGCTCTGGGGCCCGCTGGATCTCCGGAGGTGGGGGAGGAGCCTCTCCTGAGGAGGCGGTTGAGAAGGCGGGGAAAATGGAGGAGGCGGCGGCGGGGGCGACGAAGGCGTTTTCGGGACGGGAAGCTGAGGAGATGAAGCTGGAGCCATTACAGGAGCCTAAGCCCGTGCCGGAGGAGAACTTGACGTGGACCAGCAGCGGCGGCGACGAGAAGGTGCTCCCTTCAATCCCCCTTCGCTGTCACAGCAGCTCCTCGCCCGTTTGCCCGCGCCGCAAGCCCCGCCCTCGGCCCCAG